CCCGGAAACGTAGTATGTGTCTATGAGTCGGATGACACTTTCGACTTGCCAAAGTATTGGACCTCCAAGTCTGGGTCAACATTCTCACGTGGCATCGCGTCACGTGAACCTGCAATGTGCGACGTTGCAAGCTGATGGTTGCCCGCAGCAGACAAATGATCGCTTACTGCTTGAGGTTGTAAAGACTTAACGGCCGCTGCGTCTTCGTGCAGCCGCCCTCTCAGCTGTCTTCTCGGCAACGCGCATTGACTTAATAATGCGCGTGTGTAGTTTCAGTGATAATTGATTTTTACTAATAAAAGCTTTTTTTCTTCGAAGTAGTCGCTAGCTCAATCTGTCACTATTGTGACTGAAGGTTGGGGGGGTGACCTCGTTACATAACATTGGCTTACATTTTTAATGCTAATGAGAATAATATATTAGTGGATATTGTTGCCCTTGTATTTCTTTCATGCTGGAGATGCCTTCTTACTGGCTCATATAGGCCATGATATCAGCCAACGGAGCTGGCCAATAAAGGATGGACGCGCGCAATGATTGTTGGGCAGTTAGATATGTATAGCTAAAGCTAGGTTATAGAAGAATTAATTTAGTCATGACTTTAACTATATTAAATTGATCAATTATTTAGCTAATCAGCAAATTTATTAAAATCTATTTGGCCAAAATGCGAATTGGAAATATCCTATCGAAATTATGAAAAATACTTTTAAACGTCACAGTTTTTTATGAATGTTAAAGTTTTAATCCAGCGTCACTGTTTTTATCAGTTTTTTATACTTTTTAATCGAGTGTATGTGCTGTTGCTGCTGATACTGGTGCTTGACGACGGCAAAATCGGGCATTATGACTTGTTTGATGGCAAATCCGACATTGTCGGCGTCCTACAGAAGCCCATAAAGCCACATATCATTTTCGTATTTTGCTGCCATATATGTAATTGAAAACGTGTCGGAATAAAGTTAGCAGCGGCAACGTAACGATCCCATAAGCAAAATATACAATCAGTGTCATAAAGTTGCCATGCGAAAATAAAACTTGATTTCCTGCATGGATTTAAGCAAAGCACATCAAAATCGTAGCCCCTATACGCTTGACGGGGGGAGGGGGCTCATTAGGAGACAAGAATCAAAGCTTTGACGTCACCGTCTTTCTTATTGCTGATCCTTCTTGTGCGTTTGATTGCAACAGCATGACCTTCCTTCTGTATTTGCGGCTTTTGCTTGTTCCCGGGATGCACATGCAAGCTGCAAAGGTGGTGCAAAGCTGTTCATTGTAGTTTTAATGAAGACGTCAATCTTTCAAGGATTCGTGTCGATCGGCCCGGATGCAGCAGCACCTGTTTTGCTGTTGTGTAAACACTTCAGACTGTTGAGAATCCTGCTGCCTTGATAGGTCAGCTTGTTGAGCACCTTGGTTCTACAGCAAGGATCGCTTCGTCAGGTTAATGCTGTGTGAGCTTGGCGGAACTTGGCGATGGTTGCATGCTGCACATCTCCACAGAGAGAGAGAAACAATCATGGCACCGACGGCAGGATCGCCGACGAATTCAGCCATACGATTGACCGCCTGCCATTCGAGGTCATTTAGTCTGGAAGAAGATATTGCGCGTTGCATGGTGACATTCCTCATCTGCTGATTCCATAGCGGATGGGCCTATGGTTGTTGAACGGACCAAGAAGTACCACCAGGTGTAACGGGCGCCCTCCGTGTATACTGATTACTTACTTACACAGATGATAGTGTAAGCAGGTGCCTCGATACAAAAAGTCAGAAGAAGCCTTGTAACGAAATAAACTCTTGATTTGGAAGAAAATGAGTGCTGTATTTAAAAATGAAAACTGTATTTAATATACGTACAATTATCTAATAAACGTAAATCTTTTATAACCAAACATTAGCTATACTATATAACATTATGCTATATATGTGCCCTCCACTCATTGCACGCGTCCATCTGCCATTGGCCAGCGCGTTGATTGATGCTATCATGTCATGTATCAGTCAATTAGAGGGGATCTGTAACTTTAAGGAGATGCAAGGGTAATATTATCAGCTAAGATAATATTGTCGAATATTATTAGCTAAGATAATATTGTCGAGTATTATTAGCTAAGATAATATTCGCAATGGCACTATATCTTAGTGCTAATGTTATGTAACGAACTCACCCCGTTACAATGAGTTGCATGCACCACTCACTGCTCATGGAGCTTGTCATCGTCTTGCAGGCCGCCTTAAAAGTTAAATTCGATGCTAAGTAAGCGAAACAGATTACTTTACTGAATGGAAAAAGCGATTTGTTGATTGCAAGCCAGGCACGATGGTTACCCGGGAAAGGATGTTCTTCAATTTTCCTCAAAAATGTTGAGGTTGGAGCTCCAATAAAAGCCTCACGGAACACGTTGCTGCCATCAAGCCGACAGAGACGTGTCTATCCCCAGCTACGGAACCACGTTTCTGCCACTACAATTCGTGATCTGTGCCGCGCGGTTTCGTTGACGCAGGTCGTCACTTCGAAATAAGCCTTTTCTTATTGAAAATAGACGAAATTTGAATCAGCAAAGCTCATTCGTACGCGTACATTAAAGTTATATAATTATTGGGACCCTTGCAAATGTGCCGACGGCCCAGATATGCCCTAAGGACTACGCATTTTATGATGCAAGTGCAATTTTAGATCGACAGCAGAGATTATCAATAAAGTGCTCGTCATGTAAACACGCGCAAGCTACGCTAGATCTTGCGCTTGGCGATGCGGTACCGAACTCGACCATTTGCCAGCAAAGCGCAGCGACACTGAGCGAAGCGGAGCGACTCTGTACAAGATTCGATAGTCCTAGCGTGCAGCACAGCGATTATAATCACATGAAGCTGGACTATAAGTGAAGCGATGCAGGCATGCAGGGAATGCAAAAAAGTCGTGAAATGATTTTATATACTTGCTTTGAAAATTTGCATAGACCACAATATTAGGATTTTCTAGCTTATACATATTTTGTATGCTTAGTGACGAAATTAGAACTAAAGAACAAATATATCGATACAAAATAGAATAAAATTCCGTATAATTTACATACATCTTTCATATTGTAGTCTTGAATTCTACACGTACAGTTCGCACGTGCTTCATCAGCCTGCAAGAAGGACAAGAAACGGCCAAGATGGCTTGAGAACTTCAAGGAGAAACTCGCTGATGATATATGACACGTGGTAACGCCACAAACAAAGACTCCATGCATCATCAAGGCGACAGCTGGGTCCCAACGTCGACCTTGCACCCCAAATTCGAGTCTTAGTCCGAGACAGCTGCTGCTGCAAATCCTTTTGGCGACTCCATGTCGACCGGAATGCTGCGCCTCGTTTTCGACACAGTGGTACTCAAAGGGTCGTCAAGTCTTTGTGAACTCAAAAGAATCACGTTCAGTGCCTGTCTCCATTAGGACAGTCTCCAGTCTGTCAATGCATATTTTTTTCCGGAACGGTCTCTCGGCATGATAATTCTCGGTTTACTCGGTGGCATTAATATCATATAGTACAAAAACCGCTCTGCCTGTGCAGCGTATCGGTGACATGCGAGCAATAATCACCGCTCATTGTCGACCACGCCTTTATACCGCTGTATGGTATATCTTGCTGTTCGGTAGCGAACACCACACGCAGATGCGTTAACATTGCTTTCCATTTTGTCGAGTATTTATAAGTTTGAGGCCACTGCTGGCGAGCAGGTGCGACTTCACGAAAGCTGTTCGTATGTCCATTCCTGTTGTGAAACCTTGCTGTTTAGCTCTCCATCATGGAACATATTCCAACCGCTGCAGTTCTTGCGGTATCAAAGGCTGCACTGTGTTGCGGAGACTAAGGCGTCCTGCACAGACGGAGGTCTCTACTGCAACGTGATGCATGCACAACATAACTTCAAGGTGTCCACAGATAATCAGACCTCATGCTCAGCGTCTGAGAGCTGCCCACCATCATCATAGGCGTGCGCAGCGAACTGCTGGGGCTGTCGAGATCTGATAGCATTTTATCAAGCATACGTGCCGATTGGCCAATTTGCAAATCATCAGTTGGTCGGATTCACCAATCAACGAGTCTTAATCTTAAAACGCCAATTCCACTGGGTGATCTTACTTTCATTATAAAGACGAACAGTCGTTACATTTCTCCCCTACCCGCGTACGTCAGCCCCAAGCCACTCCGAAAGGGCGCGGTACGCACTTGTAATGCTATTTCACTACTACAAAGTCCATACAATGTATTGCAAACTCTGCCCGCTTGTTTTTCGGCGCAACCTTTTGCTCGTGCGTATGATCGCGTTCAGCTAACAATCCAGGCATTGGTCCTATCGCTTGTTAGCATATCGCCTTCTAAGCGGCGACCGTCAAAAATACGGAGACTTTTAACGCCTCCAACAGCCGTCCGACGCCCGGTGATGCGGCGCTGAACCACTACTTTCGCAGATGGGACGCCCTCGGCGTTGCTTGCAGTTGGGCTTAGGGACGCATCCCTGGTTTTATCGGCCGATTTAGCTTGGCATACTGAATATAAGTAATTTGCGAACCTCAACCGCCGACTGTTCGACAACCCACGTTTAAACCTACCTTTTGTGGCAGCCAGCAATCGTTTTCGCCTGTAATTCTTATCGGTCTTTGATGCTTTCGCGCGTATCGCAGCAGCATGCAATCCCTTGTTCCATCGTTTTCAGCTCTCTTGCAATGTCTTCGTCATCCCGAATTCCATTGTTAAATTTGCTTTCAAGCCAAACAACCCCAAGCTCGTTTAAGTAAACGTGTCTCCTTTCATTCGCTGCCTCATCTGACAGTTTCATCTGCGCCTGTTTCTGTTGTCTCGCACCTTCCACCTCTGTGACGAGCAGAAATTACAAGAAGCTCTGCATTCCCATTTCTGCTTTTTCCGTCTTACTTCAACCTATCGGTGCATACAACCTCTCATTGATCCCCGGATTCATCCTTTCAAACCCCAATCTTTTCATCAAAATGAGCGCAAAAGTTGTGCACTATCCCGTTGAGCCTCGCGCGTCCCGCTCACGGCTCGTAGACGAAGTCTCGGCCGCCAAGAAGCGCAATGGTGTAAACAAGCGCACGCCTTCAGAACGTATCGCATTGGTACTTGACATGGACGAGTGTCTGGTGCACAGCAAATTCCAAAATGAGGTTGAGTACCGCCAGAATGAGTACCGCCCCGAGCAATTAGAAGAATATATCGACTCGTTTGAGATTGTCATGGAAGACGGTGAACGTGCAGTCGTCAACAAGCGACCAGGTCTCGATCGTTTCCTTGAAGAAGCTGCCAAGCACTACGATGTATACGTGTTCACGGCTGGCCTTGAGGCATACGGCAAACCCATTCTTGACGTCCTCGATCCCAAGGGCAATCTCTTTGCTGGCCATTTCTTTCGCGAGTCATGCAAGCAACGAAAAGGCATGTTTCTTAAAGACCTGAGTGTAATCCGTGGTGGTGACCTGTCGCGCGTCATCCTCGTGGACAACAACCCCGTGTCGTTTCTTATGCAGCCCAGCAATGGTATTCCCGTGCCAAGCTTCTATGACGACGCAAAAGACCGGACTCTTGAGTCATTGAGTAAGGTGCTGGCAAGTATGCAGGAAGCGGAAGATGTACGTCCGCGTTTGCACCAGCTCTTCCGCTTGGCGGATTTGTTAGCCGAGCATCAGCGTGTGATTCTCGGGTAAAGTGAATTGCCGTGTTGTGCGGTTCTCTTCATGGATATGAGTGGGAATGGATGGATTGAGTGGGGCCGGAGCCCCCGCGTATCAGTAGCAAGTATATAATATAAAGCAAGGTATCGTGAAAGAGTACGAGATGAATATTAGATAGCCGCTATATTTAAGCAGTACAAAGATGAACAAACGGGACGGCGACAAGAACGTCCGTCCGTATCGAAAGAACACAAAAAATGCAATATCTCTTACCTTTGGTTTCTTTTGAAAATCGACAATTCATACGTATTTGTCACGAGATCTGTATTCATATGGATAGAAAAAACCCGTGCCAAAAAGTATCGTCGCTTTTATCTCGTTTTTTCTATGGTTTTGTCATCTGACTGCATACATAATGCAGCTACGACTCACACAAAGACCTACATGTACGCTGTTTCTATACTGCACAACTTGTATACTATTGCTTACATAGCACTGATGATACTGTCCATCGAAACATTCTGTCTGATTCGGGCAAGTAGAATAGCTGCTCGGCACTGAGCTCAACAAAGCCTAATCTAGGAAGGAATGATGTGACACCTTCAAGGTACCGAGAAAAAGTCATTTAAGTACGATCAAACATCCATCACTCGAAATTCCCAATAAAAAGCATGTCGGCTCGGGCGTCTCGAAGGGGGAACACAGCGGCGTACGGTGCGTTGCCCGGTGCCCCTATCTCGGAAATACGTACACGAAAATGGACAAAGGAGGTGGCGACGGTTGGTCATCTTCTTATACCCAAGTGGCTCCCTGGTCGGTTATTTCTGTTGCAGCAGGAAAGGGAAGAGTCGAATCGGAGTGCTAACGTGATATGTTTCTGCTGCTTATTGCGTCCTCTAGACCGAGAGGTCCGGCACGAATGTGACACAATTTGTATATCAAGAGAATGGTAGACTGACTACCGATTGAAATCGACGTTGTGTGGGTGTGTAGAATCCTACTGAAGCATTGCAAAAAGGAGCATTCAAGAAGTCGAAAGGTGAGGAGGCTGGTTCATAGACTTGTTGTGGTGAGAGCAGCAGTTCTCACATGATTTACTACTTTATATGGTCCAGGGCGCAAGCGTGGAGCAGGGGAAGTGGGTCGTATGACGCGTAGTGTACGCCAGCATTTAGACGCACCCTTGGAGCTGCTATCGGAATACCCCGTGCGTGTCGTACGTGTCTGTTATACTCATTTACATGGCGTTGAAGGGGGAAGATATCCATTCTTACACCAAGGTTGTCTGATAGCACACGTCACGTTACTCGTCACCCGCTCGTACGACGATGGCGTTATCCGCTCCAGCGTCTGTGCCCATGTCATCCCCTGATACAAATCTAGTGGCTGCTGCTTCTTATCCTGCCGATCAAGCCTCAGGTGTATCTACTGTAACGATAGCTGCGCAAGGGCAGATTGAGCAAAAGCAGCCGGAGGCTGCTCTTACTGCTCAGCAAGTAACACAACCAACGCACCGAGTCGCTGCTACCGTAGTTAAAGCTGAAGCTGCAATAACTGCCCCTACAACGACTGCAGCACCTGATTTAACGCTTCAGATGATGCCACCAGTGTCTAACCAATTGATGGTTAACGTGCCATCGGACGAACAACTGGAGATGGTTCTGGACGATCTGCCCATGCTCGATGCAGACGATAGCTTTGATTTGGATGCGTTAGACCCTTCTTTCTTACCGACTCCTGTACCGAGAGGGACTCAAGCGACAAGCGGCATGCATTCTAGTAGTGCTGATTTGAAGCAGCAGTCGGCTGAAGACTCGTTGGCCTCGCTTAGTGAAGACAACGCATCAGGCAACTCGGGCTCGTCGATGCCGTCGGTTTCCCCGCAGTCTTCGCCTCGAGTGATGTCTCGCTCTTCGTCACCATAAACGAGAGAAGAATGGGTTGGCGACGTCTGCAGATACATGTAGTGTTTTTCACGAAATTACAGTCAATACAAGGGTGCAAGAGACTTATGCATGGTGTTTGTCAGATTAATATCATAACTCTTGAGCTGTATAACTCGATGCGAACAAACACCTGTAGCTCCGTCATCTCAGCGGTCTGTTTGAGACAGATTTGGCGATGTGGACCGAAAACACATAAATCACACTGTTTACGACCAAGCTCTTTATGTCAAGGAGAATGCACCAAGTGCGATGATCCAACGACCTAGGTGAGAGCTTGCCTCTTGTCATCGTCGCTCTGCCCTTCATATGTTCACAGCTTGCAGCAGGTAGGATCGTCACAAGATAAAACAATAACTTCCGTCACGTTAGAACGAGGGTGAGTTGAATGATTACATTCACCCAGTACGAGTGCGGGCAGGGGTTTGTCCACGACAATTACTTGGTGTGGCAGCACGATCTACCGAGTTAATTAGCGCGAAGACATGGCCACGTGAGGTGGTCTGTTTTTCTGGAAGACCCATTGCTGCAAGAGATCACATGCGAGCTCAAGTGCAGACATTTCACTGTAAATCGATAACATGATCGTCTCTTTTTGGGATCTTAAAGAGGTTTAAGGACATGATGGTTCTGCAAGACGAGCAACTGTCTCGAACAATTGTTTGCTTTTGAGTTCGTATGAGCCAAGTGACTGCAGTGCGAGACGACATTCAACAATTTGAAGAGATGACAATCACAAACTTCGCTGGTGGTGTCCAATTTCCAACTGCAGATTTCAGAGACTGGATTTCCGAATCTTTTAAATGGAGACGTTAGGCGTATCTACACCATGCTTCTTACACGTAGTATTTACAGGTGTCGCAATAGTAATTTATCGATTCCGAGATCGTTTCATCATTTGCAGTCCACTCGCTAGACGTCCGTCCATTCTTTTACCGCTGGCCTGAATGTGAATTCGTACGCTTCTTTACCCCAAAAACGGATGGTGCCAGTAAGGTTATACAGTACACCATCATCCTAACCTAGCATTATACATGTATTTAGGATGTATACAAAACCTGTAGTATTATTACCTTTTTTGAAACGTACAAAGTGCCTGTATACATTAATTGAACCGTCTGTCATCCATTTTAGTAGTTGTATTCGTCTCCATGAACATGGTGGATAAGGGCAAGTTGTGGTCGCAGGACCGCGCCATGTCGGCAGGTGAATCACCACCGCCACTTCTAAGCCCACTACAGACCGGTCAGAACGATATTGCACCCATTTATAAGTTTGTATTAACTGGTGGTCCATGCGCCGGTAAGACCACATCGCTTGACCGCCTCTCAACCTTTTTCCGAGACCGTGGCTTTCGAGTGTATGTCGTTCCGGAAGCTTCGACGTTATTGCAAACAGGTGGTGCATTTTTCCTGTAAGTGATTAAAAGCGTGACAACGATATTACAATTATTGTCAACTATAATTATTGATTGTTCTACTATTTTGTAACAGAGATCTCAAGGAGAAGGATATCCTCAATTTCCAATGGCAAATTCTAAATCTACAGATTTCGCTTGAAGATTCTTTCTATTCTTTGGCTCAGGATAGTGGCAAACCTTGTGTAATCCTGTGTGACCGAGGAGTAATGGATGGCTCAGCTTACATGACGCCCGAGCAGTGGGAAGACCTCAAGCTCCAGCACGACCTGGACACTGTCACGTTGCGAGACACGTACGTTGCAAAGATTGACGATATAGAGCTTGGAAAAGATCTCAAAGTAGTTTCTTGTTGCCAGCCGCTATATTGCCATTTTTCACCTGGTGACGGCTGCCGACGGTGCTGAGAAATTTTATTCACTGGAGAACAATGGCATTCGCATCGAATCCATTGAACAGGCTAAGGCCATTGACGCACGTACATGCCGTGCCTGGATTGGTCACCCGAAGCTCTACGTGTTCGGTAGGAAGTAGATTTTGTTGCATGCTATAACCAGTGGGGTATCTTATGCTAGTGTTGTGTTACCACAGACAACTCGACGACTTTCGAGGGCAAGATGCAGCGTCTTGTGGACACAGCGGCCGGGTTGTGTGGTATTCCCACGACGGTTAGGGCATCCCGAAAGTACTTGCTTACCAATACACCAGTTGAGATTCCGTTCCACCACGAGGACTTTGAGGTGGAAAAGGTGTATCTGAAGCCCGAGGCTGCTAGTGCGTTAACTTGGACTGTTCCTCTGCTTTGGTGTCGAGATGTCATACTCATCTAATTCATTGATTTTGTGACAGAGACGAGCAAGGACTACTCTTTTGTGCGTTGCCGTTCTCAATATGGCATTCCCGCCTATGGCATGACCACCGTTCGCTACCTCAACACCGGTGATGCGTAAGTTGGTCCACTTCTTGCAACGTCCTTACAACGTCTTTTGTTCAGCTCTACCTTCGTAGCTAAACACTGATTTATTCTTTGTTTTCGATCAGTGTGCATCTCAAGCGCGTTCTCAGTGCGCGTGAGTACTCGTACGCTGTAAGACATCGCCGTGACCCAGCGCGGAATGTGATCAAGCAGCAGCGAATGTGCTTCCTGTACAAGAACCAATCGTTTCAGATCCACGTCTACAAGGAGCCTGTGGAAGTTGCAGCACTCACTGTGCTGCATGTGCAGGCATCCTGTGAAAATGACCAGGACATTGTCATGCCGTCGTTCCTGAGCATTGAGAAGGAGCTGCCTGGCTCGGACGAGACCATGTCGGCCTATAACGTGTCGAAGAAAAATCTCGTGGATGATGTCGAGAGAAAAGAGTCGGCGGAAGTGTAGACCTGGGTACTTTCGCTAGCATTACAATTAGAAATTGCTGGATAATGGCAGTAAGGGCAAATGTGTAGCCAGAGAATCAGCATCTAGCTGAAACTCTTTGATCACTTGCGTTTGATAGCTTTTCTGCAGGATGCACATTCAAGATGCACCCCTTCCTCGGTTTAAAGACACCGAATGCACGAATAGATAGGAAAACATTAAGTTTAGCACGTGCATAGATGCATACGGTTTGGGGCTCAAGAAAACAAGACAAGACCATTCACTGCATGTAGTAGTAGGAACACGATAGCAAAGCTAGCGCAATTCTCATGTCCAGATTTGAACAAGCCATTATCATTAGACGCGCGTAATTTCGACTGCTCATGGTGGGAATGACCAAGGAATTGAAGGTTGTGCTTGACCAATATCGGGTGATGACCTGCAGTTTGCCGAGAGCGCATATACATGCCGAATGGGAGCAAGCAATAACAGGGTGAAATTGAAAACTAGAATTAGGCTATTGTCGACACTAAAGTATGGCATGGTGTTCCTTATCTTGGACTCCCTTTTATGGACGCACTTACACATTGGGCAGCGGAAGAAACTTGTCAATCTGCTCCTGAGGCACACCGCGTTGATGGAGGTCGTGCCGCTCACGGAGCAACGTTGCAATACGTACTATTTCGGTCGCCGATGGAGATAACGTCGATGGCGATGGAGATGGCGTCGGTGGAGATAACGTCGGTTGAGATGGAGCTGGTGTCGATAGAGATGGAGCTGGTGTCGATAGAGATGGAGCTGGTGTCGATACAAAACGGCGTACTTCGGGTACAGCAATCTTTTTCTTTGCAGGTTGGTCTACATCTTCCTCAGTGTCGCTATTGGAGAAAGTTGTAGCGTGATTCGAGTTGCTATCGTCTTCGAATACATTTGTTTCTTCGGCGTTGTGGCTTTCAATGTCGGGCATGACTACTTGCTCTGTCGTAAACCTGTCCGTCAAAGCGCTTGGATAGTCAGGGCTTGCGTTGCCTTCGGTCATTACGAGCTCTCCAGGTATCTCATCGCATGCTAAATCATCTTCGTCACTATTGTGTAATTTCTCATCGTCTTGAATACCAACAGGCGACAACACCCGCGGTTCAATATGATCGATACCGTCTCTCTCAGCAAAAACTTTCTTAAGAGATGCACCGTATTGATCAAACGCTGACGATGGGCGGGCTCTTCCTCCCGCTTGCCTTTGGAGACTGTCGATTTTTACTCGGATAGCGTGAATTGTACAACCGCGATGGCCGACACCTTCTATCTTGCGCAAGAGTTCGGCCAACATTTTCCCCTTATCTCCTTTTTTAGTAGACTGCGTGTATGCAACGTAATAACGCTCCATCCACTCTATCAATAGCTCCATAGCAGTCGGAGCGCCGGGTGCCGCTGATTTCATCCACGATAACCGACTGTTGGGACTATTACGAGCGTGTTTTCTGACAGGATTTTTCATGACCATAGAGACCTTGCCGTTACTGACGATGCTCTTCGCCAATTCGTAGGCATCGTTGTTAGTGTTGTCAGCAGGTTGTTGACCGGTAATACTGCCAAGCCGTTCAGGCTCTTCCATTGCATCATCTCGAGCCGCATTATGATCGAGATTCTCATCTTCCCGGCTATCAACACTCTCTCCACCATCTCTTACGTCGTCACGTTCTTGACCAGCATCTCCCATCGTAAAAATCTCTTCCAGTACCGATCCAAATTGTTCCCAAGCTGCTGATCGTGTCTTCTCGCCTCGTACTTCCCTATGTAAAACATCAATCTTTGCCCGAACTGTATTTACAGCACAGTCCTGGATCCCTGCATCCTTCATCTCTTTCACTAACTCCTCTAGCATCTTCCCTTTCTCTCCCTTTCTCGTAGCATGAGCGTATGCACTATAGTTCGACTTGAGCCAATCTACCAGTACTTCCATCCCACTTGGGCCACTATAAGCCGAAGGTTCAAGCCACGACAGACGACTGGGGGCATGACTTCGTGCTTTTTGTTGAGCAATTGTAACGTCTGCATGGCCGTCCTTGAACAGCAACTCCTCTAGATGATCTTGATAAGGTTTTAATGGCTTGATAATGTCTCGATTAAGTACTGTCGCATCGTGTAGAATTTCTTTTAGGTAATTAATGTATTTTAAAATCTGATCCACTTCGCACTGGAATCCACGGGCATTGAGCTCTCGACATAAAGGTCCGAGCACTTCACGTTGATGCGCAGACGCGTGATAGACGACACCATTTTGTCTAAACCAATTGATAAGAATTTGTAGTGGTGTGGGACTGTCTGGCCTCATGGGGCGCAGCCAGTTGATGTCTAGCGTCGACATCGGCCCACACTTTTGCGTGTCAATAAGTATGAAATTCAATGCGACTAGAGAAGAGATGAAATATAACGCCCAGACGGTGTATAAGATCCTACTTGAAGTCTTTACATTTCATTGTGTCGTTTATTCAACAACTTTTCGCCTCTGCTTTTATATTGCAATATATGGTACCTCTTTTTCGAAAACATTCCCATTTTCCGTGGATCGGCAAGTGGATGCAGTTAAATTCAACACCAAGCGATGCGTATCTATGCACTATGATCTCGCATCTTAAACGCCTTAGGCGTTTATAATGCCTTTCGATCAAAGGTGCGGTATTTCTTCGTCTTGTAGGCCACACCAAGCATCACAAATAGCCCCAGTACCATTAACATTGCATTGAAACTTTGCATTGACGACCACACGACGAAGACCTTGCCAGTCAGTGCGACGTTCATAGCATCAATCTCCTCCTCATCGTAGCCGTATGCGCTTGTGACATACGACACAATCTTATCGTCATGAAGTCGTACAGGATCCAGCGATATGGGGTCGCCATTTTCCACGTAGCAGACTGGACACGCCCTTTTCGACGGCCACTGCTCTTTCTTAAGGACCTTATTCACCGTGTTGTGCATCTCCCATATCCACATTATCACTGCATGAGGCCCTTTTGCATCGCTTTTGGCTAGCTCGTCGATGACACTCTCCGGGTTGGACTGCAAAAAATGTTTCCGACACTCTTCGCAGCCAAAAAAGTTCTTCACGTAAAGCCTGATTGCCACCATGATTTTGCTCGGCTTCCAAGGTTCCGATGCAGACTCTTCGGTTACTGTCACTTCATTCGCTGTCATGATGTGAAACAATGTCCACAAACCGCATGTGTACGTCTTGCAAAACGCCCAGGGCTTGTCTTCTTCACTCGACGCAAACAAGTTCACAGGAAAAGTTTTGTTACTCGCAAATTCCTCCCACCTACTCAGCAACTCTTTCCAATCTGCAAGATTCCAATGGTTGCCCGTCTTCATCGCATCTGCTAGTGTAGCAAGAACATGTCGGTTTTTCTTCAAAGGGAACGACGCCGCAAGTGCCTCCACCCACATTAGCGCCACCTCATATCTCTCTCCTTCCAGCACATTAGCCCCCATAAAAAACCCGTCCTGAAACGTAGACACCGCTGCAATACCCGCGTCATACAAACGCTTGTACTTCATCTCCAACGACTGATCACTGTATATCAACACCCCTTCATCTCCATCAGCTTCCACAATGCCTTCCTTTCGGATATTCCTCAATCGGACTGCCAATTCCTTTATATCCACCCCAGATTTCACATTATGCTCGTCCATGAGTCTCTCTGCCCATTCAATCACTGCCTTACTAGTCATAAAGGTTCGTTTCATCATCCAGGCCTTCTCTGAATTTGCTGGAACATGATGAAGCTTCACTCCGGGATATCCATAAATGTCTTCTTGATTGCAGATTTCGTTGTCTTTGGTGCAATCTACAGCCCCGACACTGACTTTGTCGACTTTTGCATAGAAATTGGCGACTTGATCCCATTCGGGTGCAAATTGGCGACAATGAGGACACCACGGAGCGTAATAGTCCACAAGCCAGACGATATTGGAATCGTTCAACATTTTGTCGTAATTCTGCGCGTTGAGCGAATGTATTCGGAACGACTTGGTGAACAGAGGACTGATGTCATGATTAGCGAAAGAAAAGCCAGAAATGGTGGACACCAGCACGAACAACGCTGCCAAAAGCACGAGCAGCGACATCGCATCAACTTTTTCAAGTAATAAAGTATTTTTGCATAGCGAATAACGTCAATTATTGTTTTGATTGATACAATAATATTGTCAATTATTATTTTATTTGACGCCATTCCATCGATGAGATATATTCAGCTGAAACTCACTTCCCAATTCGAGCCTTCGAGCAACAACGGCCAAGAGACGAAGACCTTCAAAGAGCCGGTCAACCGGCCCCCTCCGACCAGGGCGGGAAGTCCCTCCAACGGGAGGCCCAGGATAAGAGGGGGAGGTTTTCCCTCTGCTGCGTGCGCTATGGGGGGCAAGCGCAGGTGCGAACCGTAAGGGGAGCACCAACCCTGTTACCCCCGGGGGAGAGGATCGATGACCGCGGTTATCATTCCCTCTTTCCCCAATAGTTCCTGCTATTCTACGTCAGCCTTCAAGCCGCCGATTCGATCGCCGAGCGCGAATCTCGGTCCCACGAAGTGAACTTGCCAAGAACGTGAATTGATCGGCCCCGTCCAGGTGCATCAGCGGTCGATCGGGACTGATCGGTGTGGTGCCCGGCGCTTGTTGCGATCATTGAGCCACTGTTTACACCTCGGGCTGGATACCCGATTCCACGTGCCCTTTTCGGAGTGTCCCCCGTGACGCCCGACGTCTCGAGCCAGCAGATTGAGCCAGCGAGGCGAAGAATGACGAAGTCCTGGTAGAAGCACTCCAGACATCTTGCCAATCCTTAATGTTTGAAATAGACGGTCTGTTCTTCTTCTATATTCAGCTGAAACTAGACGGTGAAGTTCTTCAAATCTCTCTATGCGATGTGGTCCTGTGTTTTTAATACTTTGGTCCCGATCAAGTGATGCTTGAACTGCTGGATCAATGCGGCAAAGATTGCGATAAGTACAGCAACAGTGGCTATCGACCGCATTGATACCCATGGTGTAGTCACGAGACGATGCTGCTCTAGTTTCAACTTGTCTCCGAACTTGTATACACTTCTGACGTAGGCAGCGACAATATCTTCATTCAGCATCGTTGGGTCGAACGAAAGTGGCAGAATATTAGTATCATAGCAATAGGGGCAGGAGAGCTTCGTTGGCCACATTGACTTGCCATAAAACATATTTACTATGTTGTGAACCGTCCAGATCCAAAGTATAACAGTGTTCGGACCATCTTCATCAATAAGAGCCAAGTTCTCGATCACAGTTTTTGTGTTCACCGTTAGAAAACGACGCTTGAACATTTCACAGCCGAAAAAGTATTGCACCACGAGTCGGATAGCTAGCACGATTTCACTTGGTTTCCATTGCTCCATCGACGATTCGGAAGTGACATCACTCACTGTGAGGGTGTGAAACAATGTCCAGAATCCACACATAAAGGTTTTGCACATATACAGGACATCTTTGTCTGCAAACAAGTTGGAAGGGTAGCTCATTGCATTAGCAGTAACTTTCCACCGGTTAATGAGGTTGTTCCAGTCCGCCTGCTTCCATCTTTTCTGCTCTTTCATCGCATCCACAAGCTTTGCAAAGGCATCGCGGTTCTCCTTAAAGGGAAAAGAAGCCGCCAGAGTCCGCACCCACGTCACTGCAGCCTCATACCGCTTCCCTTGTAAGACTGTCGTACCCATGAAAAATCCGACTTCAAACGTGAACAATGCAGTGGTTCCCGCAGCTTTTAGTCTCTTAAGCTGAACATCTACCGATCGATCATCGTAAAGAGGTTCCACCGGATCCCCAAACATCTTCTTCGGATTGCGAGAAACATTATTTGGGGGGTATACTTCGTCAACATCAATCCCCCGTTGCATCTTATTATCCTTCAGCGTCTCCTCAATCCACTTTGCCACATATCTAGCGTTCATGTCTCGTCCAAAAGGCATCGTAATAGCTTCCTTTGCATCAGGAGGCACGTGGTACATCTTGACTCGAGGATACGACTGGATGCCCTCTTGGCTGCAAATATCGTTCTGTGTAGTGCAATCCACGGCTCCCCAATGGATGTTTTCCACATTGGAATATACGCTAGACACTTTTTCCCATTCAAGCGCAAATTGCCGACAGTCAGGACACCAGGACGAGTGAAAGTTCACGAGCCATACATTTTGCGTATCATTCAACACGGCACCGAAGCTCTCGTTATCAAAGGTTTGAACAATCTTTGAAGTGATGGACAGAGGACTTTCATCGAGTCGTGTATAGCCAAAAGCGAAGGGCAGTTGTTCTAATGCAAGAAGCGCTGTTGTCGCAGCGGATAATATCAGAGTTTTAGGGTACATGTTTGTTAGACACTGAACTTCGCTTGATTCATAAAAAAGCACATTTTTGCTCGATTATTTACAAAACAAAAGTAAGAAATGAAAATCCATCCACCGATCGAAATATCCAAGTGGATAATTTGTGATGTCTATCAACCAAATGACGACGTTATCAGAAACTAAACGCCTGAATCTCTATTGTTCGTCACCATAGTTCTTCTTATCTGTCAGTTACGTACACACGCGCAGGAACAAGTTTACAAAAGTTAGCTCGCTGCTCCAAGGCGTTTGCAACTTGCAGTAGACGATCTTCCATCTTGCGAGCTCCCATGAGCTGAAGTCCAAGCGGATAATTTCTGTCACTTGTCAGTGCAGCTGGAAGGGAGATGGAGGGTACGCCGGCCATATTCGCTGGAACAGTCATAACGTCATTCAGGTACATGCTGACGGGATCCTCCTTCGCTTGCTTGCTGCAAATGGGAAACGGCCCTGAAGGCGTAGTAGGGGTCAACAAGACGTCAAGACCCTGCTCTTCAAAGGCTCGCTGGAAGTCTTGGCGAATACGTTGACGCAGAATCACGCCTCGTTCATAATAGTCACTCATGGCACCAGCGGAGAGCACAAATGTACCGGAAAGGATTCGACGCTGCAAGACGAAATCAATCGGGAAGATGGTCAGTTCGCCACAATGCAAGCAAAGCACTCTACTTGCTCACCTGTACTTCTTCTCCAAATCCCTCCGATCGTGTTCTGCAGTACAAGTCATGAAGAGCATCCGACTGGTTTTCTTGCGACTTCAAAGTAATGTCCTTTGCCCTGCGATAAAATACAGCAACGGCTTATTGTGTACAACTTTTTAACACAGGCAAGCGGACTACCGTGCCAACAGCATCTTACCTATAACCGTAGCGAACACCGTCATAGCGAGACAAATTCGAAGACGCTTCGGCACAAGCCAGAATGTAGTAGGCTGGAATGCATATCTTCGTCGTTGGCAGCGACACGCTAAAGACTTGAGCACCCGCGTCACGAAGCCATGTAATGCCCTGATCCCACACTTCTACAATTTCGTCAGGGAGTTCTTTCACGAAGTATTCCGCGGGAACGCCAACCCGAACACCAGTCAAGTCAACTTTCTTGGATTGTTTCGAAGACTGAACCGTGTTTGAGCACTATCACATGCATCTTTCAGCACTTTCTTGCCCTTTTTGTAAGAAAATAGATCGCAATAACGTACCCAGTTATCCGGCAACGTATCAGTAATGCAAGTCGAGTCCATTGGGTCTGGCCCCGCGATAGCCTTTAGCACAATGGCTGCATCACTATAGCGTCACAAACATCACATGTGTGACTACATATTCAGTTTTATTCAATCTTGATGCTGCACCCACCCGACAGATCTTGCAAAAATCCCCGGCGTATCCAGAGAGCTCGCATACGAAATCATACCGTAGCGTGATACTCGTCCGTACGACGGCTTTAGTCCGACAATGCCGCAATACGCAGCAGGCTATTAGCACACCAAATGACAAACATCATAGCATCATTAGGTCCTTACGACCACCTCTCTTCACCAGCTTGATTCAGAAAGGACTCACCTGACGCACTGAGCCTCCCGTATCCGATCCCAGCGCCGCAAAACAGCATCCTGAAGCGACCGCCGCGGCACTTCCACCTGAGCTCCCACCTGCAACCACCGCCTTATCCCCGAGATCCTTCGACCATGGGTTGATGGTCGCACCAAACTTAGAGTACAGCGTGCCAGATCCCATTGCGAACTCGTCCATGTTCAGCTTACCCAGAAGTACTGCACCTTGATTGAGCAGTCTCTGTGTGGCCGTCGACTCGTAGGGAGACACAAAGCCCTCGAGGATTTTAGAGGAGGCAGTAGTGGGCATATTTTCCATGCAAAAAAGGTCTTTCACACCCACAGGAATGCCGTCCACCAGGCCGAGCGACTTGTTAGCTGCACGACGGTCGTCGGACGCCTTGGCCAATTGCAACGCACGATCAAAGTCCGTAGCAACAAACATGTTATAGGCACGAGTTTTCTCCACTTGTTCGATGCAGGCTTGTGTGAGTTCGACGGCTGAAATGTCGCCGCGTGCCAGAGCTTCCGACGCGACGAGCAACGTTTTTCTGCACCAGTCACTAACGCCGCGTAACGAAGAACTGTGCCATGTTGAATTGATTACTCCCGCGCGAGATCTATGCGCATGATTGTATGTTAGAAGCAAGTTCTGAGGTGCAATATGTCTGTAGATAACGTCACTATGGACACGCACCGACGCACGATACCCACGCGCTGCATTGCCAATCTAATTGACAAACTATTCAACTGCATGCTGCTCGATTATGCTGCTAGTAGGTTCCGTTAATTTTCAACCAATTGTTGTCAATAATGTAAATTCCGAAGCATGGTACGCGTGGATTGGCTGAAAGTTGATTGCGTAATTACTCGTAAGAAGTCCACCTGTTATTTTGACGAGGGCCTTGAGCGAATCGATTGGTCGAGCGTCTCGCTGGCTGCCGATGCCCGCCGGATTCTCCGCCATCCCATTATTTCCATCAAAGAAACGGAAAAGGTGCGTTTTATGATTTTAAGACCAAAAGTTTAACGAGTGTAGCAATTAGAAACTACAGGCAGCTAACATATCAAATGTAAAACAATCTTGCTCAGATGTCGAACGATACTCTCACGTGGCTATTGACCAAGAACACCTCGTGCTTCGTTGTGAAGCGCAATGGCAACGAGTTTGCACGCGAAAAGTTCAATTTGCTAAACCGCAACTGCCGCAAATACTCAGGTCTGGCTTGCACCAAGGCTGTGGACATCTCGGCATCGGACAAGAAGTTGGTGCTTACCACGAAGATCGGGAAGGCTGCTAAGAAGCCTATTAAGGCTGAGAACGTCGTGCCCCTTCGCAAGGGCGCTCGCGGTGGTGCCAACACCATTCGTGCCAATATTTCTCGCAACTACTACCGTCGTGATTTGAAGAAGGCCGCTCTAGCCAAGTGGTCGCGTCTGTCCACGGTTGCTAAGGTCGAGAAGGGTGCGTTTAACGAGCAGACAGATGGATGATGAAACTGTTTAGGTGCTGACTGTTTGTGTGATTGCACTATAAATTTATGCAGGTGTTCTTCAGAAGAAGGCTATCCGTAGTCGTCGCATCAAGGCGTAAGAGTGAGGAAACGTTGGGGTTGTTGTTTACCTCCAAAGCTGCTTACTCTTCGGTCAGTTGGATGGACACTTTCGAGTCGGGAATAATGACAGGGAATAGAAGTGCAGGTCTGCGTTTTTTGCTCCCGTGAAATGGACTGAGCTCTTCTGGTGCTTTCTTATCGTTGTCTTTTGTGGTGTTGTCATCGTGTTTCTTTCTTGTGGCGCTATGCAACAGCCGCAGACCAACAGTGGCTTCTACCAAGTGCCATGCCATTTTGCGGTCACTGAAGCTCGACAGCCTTTATTAAATTGTGCACCTCTTATCGAATCAGGAGCGAAGGTGTCGTAATCTCTTGACAGTGTCATGGAACGTCTTGCAATTGACAATTGCCTGCAGACGAGATGTCCGTCAAGTTTGTCCCCTTCTTATCAACAACATAAGGAGGGAGTTTGACTTGTGAGTTCCACGGAATGGACAATCGTAGTGCACGTGATTTTAGAACCTTCAGTACCTCGCTCAACACTTTTTGATTGAGCTGGCAGATAACAGTCGATTGAATTTGCAGCTACGCTCAGCATTCAAACGACTGACTTGCTTGCAGCATTCACGGACCATTCGAAAAACACTGACAAGGATCTGCGAAGAGATTGCACGATTCCACCCGTACGTAAAAGAAGTTACGCGCAACTCCAGCTCATAGAAGCTCATTATGACGATAGAGGAAAATATCAAGAATTGAACTAAATGAAAGGCAAGTAACACGCAGAAGCCTTTCAACGAGCTGAATAGTGACACAAGCCGTCATTGTAATGTTTCGTTCGACGTAGTCGACGAACGATTAATCCTAGATCATGGGCACCTCAAACGGCAGCAACAGCTCCACCATCGTTAGCAAAACTTGCACCGTCTCCAATGCTTCCTGTAATACCATGAACCCTGTAGGCCTCTTACTACAGCAGCATCATAGCCCACGTCATGTTCCAGCATCACTACAAGTGATCTCAGGCTGTCATAACCCCGTGCCATCGTCTCAGACGCTTAACGCAGTATACTTCTACGTCTAAAAATCTAGCAACAGCTGCGCCAAGATCTGTTCTACATGCAGCGGCTCCACCTGCTCGCTGTCGTCAACCATGGCCTCCATCTGGGCGCGGTGGACCGCTTCCACTACGAAGAGCCGCAGCATCTCGGCGCTAAGCTTCACTGCGTCTATGTGAATCTTCCGCACGCGTGAAGCAGCGGCAGCGGCACTGACTAGAGGTGCAGAATCGAAGAGCTCTTCTTCTTCGCTGCTGTCACCAGCAATTGTCTCGGCTGTGCTTGCCGCATTTGCTGCCCATGCAGACTGGAAGAGCTGCTCCACCATCGCCGGCTGGAAGGTCGGAGGAGCCATTCTTCATGAACGCTTTTGACGGGATTCAAAACGGTGTGGTAGACACCAAAGTATCAAAACAAGGTTAGTGCCAATAAGTCTACCGATCCATTGCGCAGAGATGACGCAGACCCGCAAGCATGTGCTCGTCATTGGCTCAGTGAATGCTGACATCGTCGTAGAGATCAGTCGTCTACCTCTTCGTGGTGAGACGCTGTCCGCTTGCAAGGCGGACACGGGCAAGTTCTTCCCAGGCGGCAAAGGCAGCAATCAAGCGGCTGCAGTCGGCAAAATCATCGGTGCTAACCACCCGACACTGTCGGTCAAATTCGCTGGCCAGTTCGGCAACGACACGCACGGCAAGGCACTTCAAGGTGCACTGGAGGACGCCAACGTGGATACAGGGCTCGCTGGCTATCCAGATTGTCCCTCAGGCCAAGCGTTCGTGTTTGTGTACCCGGACGGCAACAACTCCATTGTCATTGTAGGTGGTGCCAATCGTGCGTGGCCTGAGGAGCTCCCTCCTACTCTGATGGATGCCATCAAGTCGGCGGCTGTTGTTTTGCTGCAGTGCGAGATTCCTCAACGGATAAATGTGCTAGTGGCCAAGACGGCTGCTGAAGCCAACGTCCCCGTCATGTGGGACACGGGGGGTGACGACACCTCGATTCCAGCCGATTTACTACAGTTGCTGACATATGTGTGTCCCAACGAGACGGAGTTGGCGCGGTTGACCAAGCGCGAGGTGACCAACATAGACGATGCAATCGCTGCGGCGAGGTTTTTGCAAGATCAAGGCGCCAAGAATGTGTTGGTCACACTTGGATCAGATGGATCCGTGTTTATTCCTGCCGACGGTGCGCTGGTGCATCAGAAATGCTTTGAGGTAGAAAAGGTGGTTGACACGACGGGTGCTGGCGATTGCTACCGTGGTGCTTTTGCCGTTGCGTTAGCTGAGGGTCAGAAAGTGCAAGACTGCATGGCTCGTGCCGCTGCAGCCAGCGCTTTATGCGTCCAGCGTTCGGGTGCGTTGCCGAGTCTCCCGTCGGGCGATGAAGTTGCAGCATTCCTCAAGAAGAACGGCACGTAAGAATCGACATGAGAAGTGACCCATGACGGTAATTTATATAAATGTGCACTGAATATCAGTTTGTTTCCGACCAAACTAAAAGTGAGGCGAGTTAGAACGCGATGTTGTCGATGTCGTGATTTTGTACTCTCATAATAATGCGAGTCGTGATCTCGTAACCTCGATACTGTATGCCAACCTACAGGATCTGTCGGAAATTACCGGTACTCGTACCGGTTACGGACGGGTCTGAGGAGCGGCACATATTTCTGACAGGTTATGAGCCCATGTTAAAATATTGCATACCTAGTCGTTTAGCAGTTTCTGGCGATGCGAAAGGACGCATCTTTTGATAATGCTAGGCGACGCATAGGAGGCAGTGAAGAGGTGTTTAAAAGTCGAGAGCGACGCTAGAGAGTGGTTCGTGAAGAGAGATCGCAGCTAGTTAGCACAGCAAGAGCGACAGAAGCGAGAGAGAACACATAATCTATTCTACCTATTACACCTCACATTCATCCTTTCTTACAGGTTATGAGCCCAATGGATGGATAAAAAGGCTAAAGCAGCACCGACATCATCAGGCCAAGCGAGAGCCTTACCGGGACGTGAAGCATCTACAGCGCGTTAGTCAGCGCAGATGCCAGCGACGGTCGAGGAACACGCCGCTGGTGCATATGACGTGGCTCACGCCGAAGCGCAGTCACCGAGATATGAGCATCAGCAGATGCACGTCGGGGACCCGGACGCAAGCAGGCGAAGCTGACAGTGCGCAAGTTCGATGGGAATGAGCTCTACCACGGTCTAGGCTCGGGTTTCTACGACTAAGGACGCACGTTCCTCCGCCAGGTCAACATGGCGCAAGCGGCGTATGAGTTACTGTGGACGCAGGAAGTTAAATTCGACCTGCTCGTACACTATCAGACCGGCACCGCCAAGCACTATTATCACAAGCAAGTTGATACGTGGTGGCTCGAGCAGCCGACGCTCGACTACGTGATGAGACGGATGTTTGCCAACATTTAAGACATTTAACACTGGTGCGCAAGCCATTAAGTTGTTCGCACAGCGAAAGGATCCCAAGTGCACGAGGCCTAAGCAATTTTTGTACCTGGTGGTGGTCGGCGACGCGAGAGGCGGTGCGGACACGCTCAGGGTTGACAACATCGTCAAGCACACGTCGGCAAAGCTCTCACTCGTGCTCAAAGCCAAGTACTACCTTAATCGAATCGACCATCTCCGGCACGCCGAGGAGATCCCTCATCTTGCCAAGTTCATCGAGACGACACCCACGTCGATCGTTCAAGAAGTCTTAGCGGCACACGTCGATGCGTTAGTGCAGCAGAAGGAGACGCGCAAGTGCCATGGGTGCGGCAAGGTCGGTCAAATTCGCATTGCGTATTGTCGATCGAGCGCCAGCAGCAACACTGGCGATGGAGAGGCTGCGCGTCCAAAGAACAAGGATAGGAAGAAAGAAGTATGTTGCTGGCTCTGAAGGAGGGAAAGCCGCGAACGCGTGGAACGCGCGCGGGCTGCAAAAGACAGAGTGATGTGTCGTGCAATGCTGTTGGCATTGACGAGGGCGACAAGAGAGCCTGGATCCTAGAGAGTGGATCGAGTCGGCACTTAGTGCGCGACGCATCGCTGCTGCGTGACGCCAAAAGCTGTATTCACGAAATCAAGAGGGCAAACGGCAACGCACTTGAGCTCACGCAGCTCGGGAGCGTGCGACTTCGCGTAATGTATGAAGGCGTGGAGTGCGTCGTGACGCTCACCGATGTCTTCTTGGCGCCGCAGCTATCCTGCAACATCTTGTCGTTCGGGAAGCTGAAGCAGAAGGGCTTCAATTCTTCGTACAGCAGCGGCGCTCAATCGCTTGTGCGAAGAAGCGACGGAGCAGTCGCAATTGACGTCACGACAAAAACAACGTGCTCTTTGTCGTCACTGCGGCGAGCGAAAGGAGTACTCGACGTGATCATGACGGTACTCACGGCTGACAACGCTGCAATAGACCCGGCGAGAGACGTGCAAGTGAAATCGCTAATCCACTTTTTCCAACGTCTCGGGTACAAATCGTCGACACGATTGAGCTTATCGCACGCAACCCGGACTCGGTCATCAAGCTCACCGACCGTCGTCGCCTTAAATTCGTGACGTGCATGCAGAGAAAACAGATGAAGAATGCGCATAGCCAGCAAGACAGCGGCGCGAACTCGCCAATTGATCCCATCGGGGTAGTGATTTGGTCGGATCTAAAAGGTATTTTGATGAAGAAGGACCGCTCGGGCAACCGCTACTTGTTCATCTTTGTTGACCACAAAAGCAATTACTGTCGTGTGTTCTTGGCCAAAAGCAAGGACCAAGCAGCCAAAAATTCGAGCATTTTTGTAATGGTGTGGAGGCGGAAGAGATCGACCTGTTACTCATCACACACTTCCATATTGACCACGTAGCAGCGCTGTTACATTTTACAGAGAAGACAAATTGTAAAGGCTGCGTATATATGACGCACCCGAGTAAAATCACACAATTATGTCGAAGCGCAAATTGGTCGTAGTGGCTGCAAATGAGCGCCATATCATGCGTGTCATGGCTCTAAGAGCTGGTAATGAGATAGATCGCTCTTGTATTGTTCATAAAATCAAGGGCAAGACTATGATGCTGGATTGTGATGTGTAATTCAGGCTACTCGGGACACAGAAGTCTGTCGTTCTGTAATGCAAGCGCTGCACACCAAATGAGTCTACAAGACCAAGACGGATGCGCAGTGCGACCTCGAGCGGCTGAAGGCGCGATTGGTGGCGTGCGGCAACTAGCAGGTGCTCAGTGTCGACTACACGCTCACCTTCGCTGCCGTGATAGACCTGTCGACGGTCAAAGTGATCCTGGCGCTTGCGGCGACGTGGGGGGTGCCTACCAAGCACGGCGACATCCCCAACGCCTACGTCAAAGCCGACAAGGAGCCACACCTTCGCATCTTCTTTCAGATGCCATGCGGCATGCCGATTTCGAAGGAAACGCTGCAAGCGCATGGCGCTGGGTGCTGGAGCTGAGAAAGAGCCTGTATGAACTCAAGCAGGTAGGCCGGCTATGGAGCCAGTTGCTGCACTCGAAGCTTACTGCTGTTGAATACACGCGGTGCGAGAGTGACATGCATTCCTGCAAAACCTAAGAAGAAAGAGTCGAAGAATATACAGGTGCGAATGAAAGCATCACGATCACAACTCGACGTTCGGCGAAAAAATCGAGAGATTGTGGTGTCCAAGGAAGAGAGTCGGCCGATCACGGATCTAAAACCGAAAAATCGAGAAACATGGAAGAATTAGAACGGTGTTTTGACCAGAAAGAGCTAAAGACTTTGCTATCTAGCGATCCAGTTCTCAAGATATTGAAGCCAAAGCTAATCGGATAATTACAAGGACCGGTGTCAGCTTCAGTAGAAAAACCGAACCAATTGGAAGCGATTCGTCGTTTGTTGAAGCTACTCAAGGAAGCTGGATTCGTACTTCTACTGGAAGCGCGACGGCGACGACCTCATCGTGTTCGGCGTGTATGTCGACGATCTCCTCGCGACAGGGACGAGCGTGGCGGCGGTCGAGCGGTTCTTTATAAGCCTTGCTTCGTTATCGAGTAAGGGCCTGGGGTGGATTAGCAAGTTACTGGGCATGCGCGTGACGCACAATGATCAGCGCGGGTACACGCTCGATCAGGAGGAGGCCATCGGAGACCTCCTGCGCGACAACGGGCTCGCCGACGACAACTCGACGTGGACGCCGATCGACGACAGCTGCTACGAGCTGGAAAAGGGCGACGCGGAGCTTCTTGGGACGCCAAGCGCGCGACCAGGACCGACAGTGCGCCAGTTCCAATCGCTGGTCGGCTCGCTGCTCTGGGTGGCGCGTTGCACGCGCCCCGACATAGCGTTTGCGGTGCACAAGGTTACGAGACGAGCACACGCGCCTCGATTGGCAGACTGGAAGCTGGCGAAATGCGTCGCGCGATACCTCAAGGGTACGTCGCCGCTCAAGGTCGAGATGATTCCAGAAGACAACCCGGGTGAGGCGATGCGCATGGAAGAGTTCAGTGAAGCGAATTTTGCCGCCGACAAGACGGACCGAAAGTCAATTACGGGCGGCATCGTGATGCTGAACGGGATGGCCGTCAGCTGGGGTGCGCGGAAGAAGGGAGGCGTCTTCCTGTCGACGATGGAGGCGGAGTATGTTGAGGCGAGAGAGGTCGCGCGCGAGCTGCTTGGCCTGCGTGAGATGTTGCGCGAAGTGGGCGTGGAGCCCAAACTCCCGATGCAGTTGCGGGTGGACAACCAAGCAGCGATCGCGCAGCTCGCGGGCGAGGCATCGCCGCTGAAGGCGAAACACGTGGATGTGCGCCTCAACTTCCTGTGCGACTACTCGCGTTGCGGCATCATCGTGGCGAGCTACGTCAGGTCGGAGCAGATGATCGTAGACCCATTCACGAAGGCGTTGGACTACACGAAGCTCTCGGCACTGCGCGCGCTCGTGTGCATCATGTTAGAAAAGATCAAGGACGATCAAGGGTGTTCAAGGACGTTGGAGGGTGGCGTAAGGGAAGAACCGAGGCGTAATAGAGGAGGAGTGTTGGATGTTGATGTTGAAGATTATAGGTTCGATTAGCGCCAGCCGTCAATCTGGTCAGAGATAGTCAGTGCAAGATGGTAGGAGATAATTGGTTAGCAACCATCTGTCGTTGAGATGGTTGTAGCACAGACTTTTAGGAGAACGAGTGGCTAGGAGGCAGAAACAAGAAAGAACTAGTAAGAAGCAATACAGAATCTAATTGTTCACCTACCGCTTCCTTCTCACAACACGCATCTTGCTTATAGAGTGTTCGCTAGCGGTGTTACTAGCTGTAGAGAGGAAGTCAGTGGCGCTGTGATAAAAAGATTCTGACATTGTTTGTTGTGTTATTCTTGCTACTATGATGGACTAGCTGTTCTTGCTTTCCATCACTTCTGTTCACTCAATCAGCCATCCACGCTCTTGGACACTCAATCGTTCATCTATCGCGAACTAATCGCCCTACACCTTGCTAAGTCGTCAGCCGTTACTTCAACCATTACGCATGGATGCCTGTTTCTAACAGAGAGATCGCAGCTAGATAGCACAGCAAGAGCGACAGAAGCAAGAGATGAAAACAGAATTTATTTTACCAATACACCTCACATCCATCCTTTGTTACAGCCCAATGGGTGTCGCAGGAGTCAAAGCTGTTGGTGGTGCGCCATTGACGAGGCACGTAGCTGCTAATCGCGAAAGGACCAGCACAAGCGACGATGAAGACAAGAGTGCAGTTGTTACGAGCTCGAAGTCTTCAATGGGAAGTTGGGTACCGATTTTGTGGACACCAAATACACTATCGATTTGGCGCTTGATGAGTGTGATGTCGTCGATTGGGTCACCTGTCTTGTAGCCATTGTCGTCGTCGCTGCTTGAACGTCACTGGCTTGATCAAGATGCTGGATGGATATAAGCTAATCGAATAATGTCTCCCCGTCAGACACTGTAAAGAGCGGCAGTGGTAGCTGTTGATTCATGATGCGTCTTGATCTGCACTTGTGCAGAGGTAGTTAAGTGAAGTGAAAGATATAAAGCATTAACTACTTTCGTTTGTTAATAATACAACATGACTCCAACGACACTGCAACTTGACCATGTAAGTGTCAGATGGCATCGTCTTGCCTGCCCATCTCGTTCGGTGGTCCCATATTGCAGCCGTATCTCCTTGTCTCAACTGTCTAGTTGTTGCTTGGCCGTCCCATCTGTCCATGTCTCTTCCTGTTGCATCTTCCAATACCGTCAACCTTACGAGCGCGGTACAGCCAGAGTTGCAACCGGAAACTATAAGTATGCATGCTAGCAGCACGAGTCCAAAGGTGGTATCCAAGGTGCGTGCTTTGTGTGAGCAGCTAGAGCAAAAGCGATCACACGCTCACGACCTTCATCATCTGTTTGTAGCAGAGCACTGCCAATGACAAAATAAGACGCGTCACAGACGACGCAAAACTGGTCGATCAGGTGGGACTGTCCCATGTACACTTGGACTCTAAACCTGACAACTGTCACACACGGTCCTCTCGGAAAGTAGCGGCACGATCAAAAATTTGCTGAGTATGGGGCTGAATAGTGCTGGGGACAGCCGTCAAGCGTATCAAAGGTATCGACGAGGTCACCAGCGACATCGATCTTAAAGCGATCAACATTGTGTATGTTCGAGCTGGCCAAATCCTTCTTGGTACGTAAAAGTGTAGCCGGCGTCGATACCGAGAATAAACGCCTGTTCGGAGCGTTGTCAAGAGACTGTGCCTCCGCATGCTCCATCCTTACGGTACAGCGGGCACAAAATTTGAGCGTTGGAGGGGTCTTACGTTCAACATATTTGAGCCTACGATTATTTAGCGACTGGCGTCAACTAACTTTGCTCGACGCCCTACAGTCAACTAGGGCGTCATATGACATGTCTTTCGTAACTTCGTTTTTAAGGTGATGAGGGAAACCTTATCACCAGAAGCGGTACCACACAATGATTGTGTCGCATCGTTTTCGATGCGACGGGTCTCGATGACATCGTTGACGAACCATCTTAACAAGCAGCCACCTTCGACTGGCTTCTACTTGGAGACGTCATTCTATTAGGATTCAGGATGATGCATATGCGTTGGCCCAGCAGCTGAAGCACCTGTTTGCTATTGTCTCAACCGTTCAGGCTGTTGAGAACCCTACTGCCTTAACAAGTCTGTCTGCTAAGCGCCTTGCTCTGTCAACAGGTCAATAAAATAATATTTGCATTGACACTTCGTATAAGTGTCAGTATTGTGTAACGGACTCACCCCGTTACAAAGCTATATAAGTTTCAGGTGAAATAGAGAACTGTATGCTAATATAATCAAGCAATTTCATAAACCAACTTGTTGAAACCTTACGTTGATTATATTAAAGTACGAATATGTATGTCGACTACTCGTCCTCACTCATTGCGCGCGTCTCTCATTGGCTAGCGCGTTGGCAGATATTACGAGGGCATCTGCAAGGACAATATTATAAGAAAAGGTAATATTGTCATTGGCCCATTATGTTTGTGCCAATGTCATGCATAATGTGTTTCACACTCATTTATTTACTTATACTGTAAGTTCTACAAATTTCGCTCTGAAGTAGGTTTTTTTAGCGAAATTGTCGCTTTGGGCTGGGAATAGAGTCGGCTCATTTGCCTCGTAACATAATTGCATTGACGATTGTGTGCCCCATTTATTACATGAAAATATGCTTTAATTGGTCAGAAACAAAAAAAGCAACGAATAAATTTATCCCCGAATATGCATCGACCAATGAAATGAAGACATTGCTGTTTGTAACAACGAATTTGTGTACATTTGTTGAGATGGGGGGCTATGGTACAATGTGCAGTGAGGCTTTTTCAGTGTAGCACGGAGGACGATCCTGCTCAGTCCTAGCATCTTGGTCCAATTGCAAGTTCTCTGCTCAGGTAATAGTAGAAAACTTGCAAATTGGACAAGACGCTTTCTCCTTGAGCCAGGGATCGATACATTCTAGATGGAAGCGGTGGAAGCACGGCATTATCCGCACGCGGTCGTCTACCTGAAAAGCCCGCAGACAAACGATGCAGTTTGCATTTTCGGATGTCTGTAGCATGCCTTTTCTGCAATAACATAACCAGAAAAAGAACCACCATTAGTTGTGTTCTTGTAGATCTTCTTCTTCACTACAGAGCTTGCCAACAAAAAGGCGAAAGAAAAGGAAACGACGTACGTCACCGTGACAGTAGGCAACTGCTGAATCTGCTGCGGTGTTGCACCCTCGTTTCGGCGTCCATATCGTCTCATGAGGCGCTCGTCATCGTTGCCAACAAAGTCACGATTGCTCATGAGCAGCTGGAGCATATCGCCATCCAGCTGCTCGTAGAGTGCACGACTGATTGTCACAACTCTAGAATGTGCTTCTCTGTGTCTATGCTGCTGGTCCTGCGTCCAGCCACGCTTGGTATTAAGTATAACAAGCTCTACTAGAGAAATAATACCATATATGACGAACGGTAGACTAACTGTAAAATAGAGAGAGAGAAGAAGAGTTTAGAGTTGAAGGATAAAGATAAGGGTTACAAACTAAAATATTAATTTATAGAGTTAAAAAACGTACACGATACAGCAAGCAGGACAAAGGTCTGTGGAAAGGACACGGCAATAAAGGCAACGAGGACGCTCAACCCACTTGTAATCAGAAGTATTAGCGATGCCATGTTTTTTTTTAAACGAAAGCCGATAAGAGGTTGTCTGAAGCAAGGAAGGTTGCACGAATGAGATCGATGTCGCGTGTTTCACTATGCTCCCATTGGTGGAAATCCCACCAATGTCTTCCTAACCGCAATTAATCGTTTTCTTCTAATCGCAGTCTTGTTTCGCAACGCCTTTTTGGCTTGTTTTTGCACCCAGACTTTCAGTTCAAACACATACGACAGATAAAGGGAAGAAAGAAAAAAAAACCGTCATCTGACAATTGTATCGCATTTTTTCTTTATCTGCCGACGTTTTTACCATGTGTGACAACAAGGAATACAAGTTGGTACGAGATCTAATTCATCTCATTGATTGTTTCGTTTGTCGAGCAGCGAGAAGATGACGTTCTCTTTGTCTCGCGTCTCTTTTTTCTGTTGTTAAATTATATAAAATGGATGATGAATTATTATTAATTTATTGTGACACTTTTTTTTCTTTTGGTCTTTTGTAATCATTAGGTCGTACTTGGTTGTGGTGGTGTTGGGAAATCCGCACTTACTATTCGCCTTGTGACCGACAATTTTCTTGAAGATTATGATCCAACTATTGGTAAATAAAAAATGACATGCTGTTCAAATAGTTAGTTGCTTTGGATTACTTATTAGTTTTTTTTTATTTTTATTTGCCATCTAGAGGACAGTTATCGGAAACAAGCAACAATTGACAATATTCCTGCATTGCTCGACATTCTTGATACAGCTGGCCAGGAAGAATATACGTCCATGCAGGATCAGGTACATTTATTTGCTGCTACAAAATGCTGCTTTCTTTCTTGGATACAAGATACTGATCAAGTTTTGGGTTTGCTGTTATTCTGCAGTGGATGCGTGAGGGCAAAGGATTTCTATTGGTCTACAGTGTCACCAGTCGAAGCTCATTTGATGACATTGCTGCCTTTAAGGATAAAATCTTACGAGCGAAGGATGTGGACAATGTACCCATTGTACTGGTTGGTAACAAGTGTGACTTGGAATGTCAACGACAAGTGGCAGATGAAGAGGGCCAAGAGCGTGCAGGGAAATGGGGCTGTGCGTTTATGGAGACGAGTGCCAAGGAGAGAGTACGTTGCTGCTCTGTGTGTTGACAATCTGGAGTGAGAGCTAATGGCGTTATTTTTTTTGACTTACAGATATTGAATGAAGAATGCTTTTACCAGGTGGTGCGTGAGATCAGGAAAGCTGAGCGTCCTGCACCCGTGGAAGAGCCGCAACCGACCCAGAAGCCACCGAAAAAGTCTGGGTTCAGGTGCACCATTCTATAGAAAAGTACAAGACGCGCCACGTTGCGTCGAGTCTACAAAGCGCAGTGCTTTGATAGCCTCGTCACAATGTTTTGCTGCTTTCATAACATCAGTCAGTTTAGCCCATTTCCAAATCCAATTAACCACTCATCATTGCTCACTCCTTTTTAGCAATCGCTACTTGTGAACGTTCCTGCGTTGTTGGCGTGTTTATTCGTTTTGCGTGTGTTAACACTATAGCGGAGTCAGCTCATCGATAAAAGAACACCGATCAGCAGTGTACCCCATAGATGCACAAGTACTGTAAAAGCTCGTAACAAACAAAATGGCGCTTGTTCATATCCAAACATGCATACTTGCAGCTTCTGTGCCTCTCTATCCCTCTTACTCATCTACAGTGGGAGCTGTCTTGGAGAAGACATCACAATAGCGGGTGGGCTGAAGCAGCTTACTGGACTGCGGCCTAGAAAGTTGTTTCACACAAGAGTTTTATGGACTGAAGATAAGCGCTGGTTTCTTCACGTGTAGTAAAACGAAGCGAGAAGGCTCACAATCTCACGCACTTGGAACGGACGTTGCAGCTTCCACCGAGACATCACTCATTTCCACGCTCCTATCACGATGAAATGCCCGTCTGATACCTCACCCGGTAGTTCACTAGGTTAGCCGGCGCGTTAGCCATATATTGTTCCAGCCACAACACCATTTCAGCTTCCGAGGACCCAAAATCATCACGGAAGATACGAAGCACACGCGGTAGCACAATCTCCCCAGCACGCTCGTTTATCTCTACCAATCGCTCACAAAACCTTTCCGCCTGCTCTTCCAGGACTGTGTCTGTTCGTCCAGGCTTTAAGATCGGCACGTCTTCGGCGCTTGGGAGAGGTTCCGCGCAGTCAATCAGCACCAATAGTGAGCGAGGATCACGAATGTGTAGTCGGAACTGCAATTTCGGGTCCTGAGCCTGCAACTGGCGCTCCCAATAGTTTGATGGCGGCTTGCGATTGCACCGCAAAATGCCATGCTTGATGTCACCTAGCGTGAATTCGAAACCGCCAAATGTGTAGGCTACATCCCTCTCAAAAGCCTTGTACTGGCCAATGTTCTGTGGCACACCAAACTCGATGAGACCGTGAAGTACCATAGCGTTGTAAATGTTAATGAAGAACGGCTGACGTTCGTGCTTGGGAAGACTACCGACGTCCACCTTTTGCAACTTCGAGGCTAGCTTCAAGAACCGACGATACTTTTGACAAAGAGGGGCGTCAAAGTATACGGTCGCACTACTTCCCGTCACGGACACATGGTTTGGAAGGCTATACCCGGTGGCAATTCCGCGCGGGAAAGACTTGAGTGCATGAAGTTCTGCTATTGCTTCACGAACACGAAGACAGACTTCCATGGCACCTTGCTGAACATCTTCAACACAAACATACTTCATGTTCAATGGAACGAACAGCTCGTCGACTTGGAAACGCAAATATGTGCCCTGAGCAGTTAAGTCCGGATGCGACATATCTTCCGCAAAAACGATGTTCAAGACACGATTCTTCAAATACTCGGACAGAATAGCAGCGGCCTCCTTATCTGTCTTTTCAAAATTTGTCTTCAAAACACGTACTAGCTCACTCGCAGCAATACACGCCGTGTAGGTAGTGAAAAGTCCGACACGAACATCGCCAATAGTGACTTGTGCACGCAGCTTGTCAGCAAAAGTATCCTCTACATATCCTGGAGAGTCCGCCGAATTCTTTGCTAAGTCACTGTTTCGCGGTGGGCGGCCAGAAGTAGGCACCGATTCGGCAGCAAGTCCAATAGCGACAGAGGCGATCGCGGAACTGCGCAAATTGCCATTGTTGAATCCGGCATTGTTCGATCCATCACTACGAGCCGAAATAGGAGAAGGCGACTCTAGAAGTGAGTCTTGAACCCCGTTACTTGGCATTTCGCCGCCACTGTTGTAGTTGCGACGACGCAGACTTGGCGACGCAGGCGAAAGTGGCGGATTGTCTACACCCGTGCTATACAGAGAAGGCTGGTGCAACTTGGCCTCGAGCTCCAACGCCTCTTGGAACTCCGATACATGCTCGGACAAGAAAGTCTGAATGGGCGCTTGCACAAATGGGAAGCGACAGATATCTTCAATTGACGGACGCTTTGACGCATCCTGCTGCAGCATCAGCTGCACGAGGAGACGCAACTCACGCGAGAACGAAGGCAAAATTGGCGGAAACTCGCCTTTGCAAATTTTAGTAAAGATTTCCGGAAGCGTAGAAGCCTCAAATGGGCGTCGCAGCATGATCATTTCGTACAAAATGCATCCAAGTGACCAAATGTCTGACTTTTTGCCGTACGGCTCGCCTCGGCATATTTCAGGTGACATGCTTTCGGGCGTACCACACGCCGTGTTCGCTGTATCATCTCCGGCCAAGGCCTTGGAAATACCAAAGTCACCAAGTTTCACCACATTCTTGTGCGTAAGAAAGACGTTCTGCGCCTTCAGGTCACGGTGAAGCACATTCTTACCGTGAATATAAGCCACCGCCAGCACAAGCTGGGCAAACCAGCTCATAATAACAGGCTCTGGGAAGGGTCCCATCTTTTCACGCGAGCGCAACTTTACAAGTTGACGTAAATTGCCACCATCCGAGTACTCCATGACGATATTGAGCTCGTCATCAGCTAAAAAGTGGTCGTAAAACCGCACAATGTTCACATGATAGAGCGACTTGAGTAAAATCACTTCATTATCCGCTTGTTTGCGGCCATTCTCTGAAATCTGTGAGATCCGTACGCGCTTGACAGCGACCACAGCTCGGTCCAAATTACGTCGTGCCAAGACGACAGTACCGTGTGTGCCTTTTCCAATCGTACGAATGACTTCAATATCTTGCCACATGCTTTTATTCGACGTACGTTCAAGACGACGACTGAGCCACACGTGACGTACAAGTGTCTTGGCTGTATTTACTTGAATCGGCTTAATAAGGTAATCCTTGGCTCCTTTACTTAAACAGGATGTAACAACGTCCATTTCTTCATTACTAGATGTCATAACGATAGGAATATGACCAAGTATAGCACTAAGCTTTTGAATTCCATCCAGGAGCTCAATACCCGTCATGACAGGCAGCATCACATCACACAAGACCAAGTCAAATTTAGCATGATTGGTCACTAATAGATCCAGTGCCTGTTGTCCGTCTTCTACTGCAAAAACTGTATAACGACAGGATTTCAGTATATCAATAGTGGCCATGCGGGTAAACTCGTCGTCTTCTACAACCAATACCGTCACTTCGGACGGGTCCATCGTGATATATTTGATGTGAAAGTATAGGAAAGAGGGGAGGGGAAGGGGTGCTAGGAATAAGGGGAAACGAAAATGTTCTCTGTTGACGCGTTAGGATGGAAAGGAAGGAAGGAGAGGAATGAACACGTACGTACTGGACGTCGTCCTGTATGAAGATTTGGAGAAGCGATGGGGAATGTACTATAGGGAATTGTTTGGTATTATGTTGTAATCCAGAATATTTAATATTTTACAAGAGTACTATTATATACAGTATGAAAGGCTCGAATGTATTTCAATAAAATAGTATTATTGAGATGGGCAATTCAACAATTGTTGGAAAAAAACCGAGTCATACCGGTACACTTTCCTATTACCCATCGCTCGTCTATTAGAAATCCTCCTCCTCATTTCATGATGCAGTCGGCGTCTGTCAATTGGCGTGGCGTCTCTCCAATACCTCGTGCTTTCTCTACTGGTAAAACACGCTCATCATCGACTCCATCACGTTCTAGAGTCAAATCGCAACGTCATATAAAAAAGCCGTCACTTTCTGCTTTCCAACGTGGTGTCTTAAAAGCTCGTGCGTTGGTTGATAGTGCGACGACCCCTGAGGAACTGGAAACGAGGTTACAAACGCTTTTAAGAGGTTCAAAGTATTCCGATGCTGCGTTCCTTATTGTTGCTAGTTCGTACTTAAGTGAACGCTTTCAAACACCCGATGTAGCACGTCTTATGCTCGAACAAGCCAAGAGTCCACAGGCATTAGAAAAAGTAGCACAATTCGTGCGAGATTTACAACTGCAATCGAACAATGAGCTTGTGACGCTGCTTATTAATGAAATGGTGCGTGCACTACAATTTAATGCCGCTGTTAGACTTGCACAGGAGATGGTGCCGGGATTCGAACAGCTTTCAGCATCTGTTGCGACTGTAAAGCGGCCGTGCTGGACCCCATTGGCTTTAATTCAAGCCATGGTTCGTGCAAGAAAGTTTCGAGCAGCACTCAAGTATTCCAAGCAATTTGGACTACTGGAGACGTTCCCGGCTCCACAATTAGTGGTCGGGATGCTGGAGACAAGATGCTGGGAAGAAGCTATCTCGAGTATCATGGAGATGCAGCTGTTCAAAGAGTTCCCGTTGGAGGCACTTGCAGTAGAAATGATGAAGCAGCGGCAATGGTCTCAGGCTGCTAAGTGCATGAACAAGATGTCGGACAGAGATGATGCGAGAATAAAGTTTTACGAAGCACTTGTGTGCGAGGCTGCTCATGTGGGAGACTTTGTGACTTCATTGCGATATTTACGTGAATTCAAGCTACATCAAGGCACGGGAGTGGCAACGGTGAATTTGTTGCGGTATCTGGTGGATGCAATGCTCGCACACGGCGAATTTTACAAGGCAATCAAATACGCAATCAAGTTCAAGCTAGCAAAGAACCCGCTGGACGATGCCATTGCAGCTGCTGAAGCTGCGCTTGCTGCTGTGAATGGCGAAGAGGTGCCACACCTGAGCGATGATCACACAGAGTATTTGCCGCAATACAACGTCGAAATCCTAATTCGCAAAGCCATCGCCGGTGGACAGTTCCACGTGGCTACAACATACATTAAGAGACTGCGTCTTCGCGAGAAGTTTGCTGAAGAGCTTGTGGCGATTGAAAAAGCGCAGCAGACTCGGCTGCTGGAGTTCCGTCAATACGCACAGTTGCGACTTGCACAATTTCAAGACGCTGCGCTTCAGCAGAGTCTCCGTGCTTTGCTAGGTGATCAAGCAGACGATGAACTGGTTGAACTCGAACTAGTAGAAGAGGAGATTGTCCTGTCAGTGGAAGAGGAGATTTTTCCGTGCGGCAAGAAGACTCGGCAAGTCAAGGAGGAGGAGGAAGAAGAGGAGAGCGAACTTAGCATAAAGGAGAGATGTCAGGCATTCGTTTCTGAGAGCAATAAAACTGATGAAACGCAGCAGCGCGAGTCCAATGCACCTGTCGAGACGTCAGATGAATCACGTTTTGGCTTTGCTCGGGCGCCGCCACAACCACCGCTCCCAAGTGACCCTGTTTCTGAGGCTGGAGTTTCTGGTGTCGAAGGCGACAACCTATCTCGCATTAAACCGTTATCACATGTCAAAGGTGCACCTCCGGGTTTGTTCAGCTCGTCAGAGCCCGAATCTGTTCAAGATCAAAAGCAAGACGACACCGGTGGCTTTAACTTCGCGAATTTTGCGAAATCTTTTCACGGAAGCGACCCACCGCCACCGCCTAATCCCGCCTCATCGTCACTACCTCTTCAGCAATCACCCCCGCAGCAGCCGCCGCAGCAGCAACCTCATCTGAGTCAGCAACAGCAAGTTCAAGCAATGTTTGGCCAACTTGTGCCAAACGGTCAGTTTGCGAGTGGGCCACCGGGATACCCCATGCCGCCGATGATGCCGCAGCAGAGTTCTATATATTTCCCGGGAGGAAATATGCCACCTAGTGCTATGCAGCCACGTGGTTATCTGCAGCCCCCGCCTCCTCCTCCGCTCCCTTCGAACAATGGAGGAGGCGCTTTCGATGTTGCTGCCCTTGCAATGCAGTTCCACAACGGCGGCGGTAGCAACGATTCGTCTGGCTTTAGCGGATTTGGCGGTCCGCGCCCACCCATGGGATATCTAAGTGCCCCATTGAATGGCCAACAACAGCAACAGCTTTTTCGAGGAATGCCGCCACCGCCTTTCAGTGCCCCTCCGCCGCAATCTGCTTTCAAGCCAAGCATGTCATACACCTCGATCACTACGACTCGCCAGAAGAAATAGCCTCGTGTGGTTCTTTCCTTCGCATCCAGCCCCAGCTCCGTATAGTAGTAGCTCAATCTATATTTGTGCATGTGCACTGTGGATGTTGCATTTTCCTTTTTCTAGTTTTTAATCCGCCTCAATCAAACAAGAGTACTCCCTGCTTGCAATCGACAGCTACCCTGATGCATTCTTTTTCTTGGCCTTGAGTTTGTCGTCAATGTCCTCCCAACTTTTCCCTCGAATGCTGAGCAGACGAGTAGCACGCTCCGTCAAGTTACCACTGTTGAACGACAAGCAAAACATCTGTAAGTTAGCTTAAAAAAGTATCATCGCTGTTTAGTGGTCAGGACGTACCCGCATTTCAAGTCACGACGACTCAGTTCCTGCTTCAGCCGCTCTAAACCCAGTAACTCGAGCGACTCAACAGTCTCGTACTTCATCAGATCGATACGAGGTGCAGTGAAACTTTTCTTCTTCTCCGATTCCTTTGGCGTGCTGGTCTTCACTTTCGTTGCAGGAATCTCCTTACTCTGTTTCGTGGTAACCAAAGCTGACGTACCAGAATATTCATTGTTGTTTGATGAAGCTCTACATGGAGATGTCGCAGCGATATCTCTTACAATCGTCGCGACGGCGGCCGATTCATCGGCAGCTTCATCATTCAAAGCGTCAATAACTGACTCAAATCCAAGGGGCTTGTACAAGAACGGTTGGGAGCCAATGTTTACTAGCAAAATCTCCGTCTGCTCAACACTGATAGCCGGGAAGAAGCCCTCATCGCTCGGCGTGTGCTTGACATTACGAAATGCTACACCAAGATGAACGCCATTCTGAGTAAACGAAACCGTGCCCTCATCCAGATCAAGCAAGCAGCCGATCACATCGCCCTTGCTCCATGAATCATCTGTCGCATACTCCTCGTCCTTGCTACTGTTCCACTTGAGCCGTCGAGCACCATCGTAAGCCCATGACCGCTCATGGTCACCCACGCCATCTCCCGTTTCCGAGTTCGCTTCAAAGGTGGAATCAGCCCAGCCAATCTGCACGACACCAGCCGTGACAAGGCGAACCTCATAGTACCATTTTCCCTTGGCCAGTGCGCAGCAGTGTCGCGCCGATGCCGTTCCAAAATTGCCTCGACCACGAAGTTCACACAATCCATGCTTGAATATGGTTCCAACACTAGCAGTCGCATCTTCCTCATTGCTATCACCCACAAACTTCAGCCACATTTCAACCACGGGCGGTGGGTGTTGTGCCGAACGCACACTAATGTATGTGGTTGCATCGGGTGGCAACGCACGTTCATCCTGCAGCTGTTGAATCTCGTCCTTTATCTTGATTTTTCGACGTCCGAGTCCACTTCTTATTGCATCCAACACATCCTCGGGCATTTCCTGTTCAAAGTCGACATAATCCTGCAATTCCTGCTGCTTCATTCTCTGTGCTTCGTTCCTTTTCGCTCGTTTAAAATCCATCAGTCCTTCTCCACGTAACTCTGCTTCTCCATGAGCAAAGTCACAATTTCTTCCACGTGGACATCCCCACCATCGTGGCGCATCTACTGGAACAACAACATCGTCTCCTTCTCTAGCTTTGACCCAGTTTTTACACAAAATTGTATTGCGTCGTCTCTTCATGTATGACTTTTTCACTCCTTCTGCCCATGAAGGTGTAGCCAAGTACCAGCCTGGAATCCCACTCGGTGTCTCTTCATCCAGTGCTTGTCTGTCTTCCATCCCACCATTTTTTTTCCATTGCAAACGCGTCTCTCCATCCTCTCGCCACTTGTGCATTGCCACTTCTTGGTTCACATGACGTAAACGACGTCCATGAAGATCTCGACACGCTCCAAAGTCCGTCGTTGCTTTCGTACCTGATGCTTTTCCCATACTACGTAGCATGGCTCCAAAACCACCTTTACCGCCACGTAAACCACCTCGTAATCGAGCACGAATGATGGTTGGAAAGGCCGGCACATGACTCGATACGTCGAGTTTACAATCGTTTACGTATAAATCTACGAGACAAGAGGGTACCTTTTCATATTGTTCAATCAAAGATGTTAGAGAAGCGATAGATACGATATCGGATGGCAAGGAAATGCATAAAGTGCGGTTCAAGTGCACGAGAAACTGCAGCTCATTCGTCATCATGTCTTGCGGGGAGTCTGGTAAATTTAGAAATGGAGGTCAATTGTTTGTTGTATGTAATAACCTGTAATAATAGATATATATTCATGACTATAATTTATTCAGATTCTACGGTACGCGTTCTTAGTAAAGGCTTAGATAATGTTAAGTATGCTGCTGCTTCCAGCGATATTTGCTGCGTTGACGTCCTTGACGTCATTGTTTTAGCTATCTCTTTATTTGTATGGATAGCTGTAGTTATTTTGGTCCTTGTAGTGGCAGTTGCAGTGAGAATAGAGCTCTACAAGTCTCAATAAATGACATTGAAGCTGTCCATCCTCTGCGTCCTTGGCGAGTATGTTGTTTACTAGGCAATTGCAGCACTTTGCCAACGTATAAAGGAGCGAAAGACTGGAGTTTCGCCAATAGATTCGACAGCTAGGAGGTGAAGCTCGAAGCATTGAGGTTGTGACATTACGAGGCCTCGAAGCTCAAGTTCTCGACCGTCTCGGGGTTGTCTGTGTAACTGTTAAGAGTCCTGCGTCTTCAACGATTCAGAGTATGAGGATTCATATGAACGCTATTGGTGAGCTCAGCCGACAGTGCACCCGCAAAAGTATTGTCTGATGCAAGTGGAGTTGTCAACGCAGATTACAAGAGAGCTAGGCAACTGCAGAAGCACTTTCGGTATACATTGTATTCAGCCATGAGATCTTTTTCCGAGAAGCAGTGAACTCCAAGCCATCATCATAGTACGAAGGATCGTGAAAGCTACAAAATGGAGTAAGGGGCTATGAGAATCGAGTTGGATATTATTGTGGGTGATGGAAGTTTGCAGACCAAAATACCTACAAGACCTTAGACTAATCTTTGCCCGTATCTGCCGACACTCTACAAAACCACGTTAGGTCTTCAGCTAAAAATAGCTTTGAGCGCACCAGGCAGCTTCAGGGACACCCACGAGTCATAGGGTGTCCCGCTAAATGTGGAAAGTGGTCAATTATTTGGGATCGATGCTACAGCTGACGAAGCAAGAACCTGGGGTTCGAAAAGCTCAAAGATAGCAAAGTTAGCTGAGCAACTTACCTGGCCTCTGAAACGACTGGGTGCTGCACCACACACAAAATGTGACACTAGCGAGGAGCTCGTACCGGTAGAAAAGAGATTGCAGGTTGATGCAGCAAAAAGTATCATCGCGAAGAATTGTTGGTGCTGAACGGTTAAGTTAATGATCAACAACAAGATTCCATTGAAACGCTGTAATGGGCTACATTACACACATAGTTAACACAAATAAACAATTACATATGTAAACAGGTGCTGGGCCCGAATAGCGGGCACAGCGTGGCAATTTATTATTGGTCTACTAGGGTGTGTACCTGTAGACGGGCACTTCTATGAAGTTGCCTCGTACTACGAGCACACACCTTATGCACAAGCGAGGAAGCGGTTATACCGTCTTACCTTCGCGTGCGAGGGTGGTTGGGAGGTTGGTCGACTGCTTAAGCAGTCGTACCACCAGTTGCCTCTCGCTTAAGCGAGAGTGCAACGAACTTCTTAACACATAGAACACCGACGTCACGCAGAAGTCTTTCAACTTCTCGTGCGTGGTGTTTCTGTTTAAGGAAATTCAAGACTGAGATATATTTAATTAATTATAACTAAATATATATTTAACTACTGATTGGCTATATATATATATATATATATATATATATATATATAGATCGGATACGCGACTCTTTAGAAGCGTATCCTGTCGCATGATCTTAAATCTAGATTTAAGATCGCAACTGACGTTCTTCTGAGACGTCGCGATGCCTAGCTTCAACTAGCGTCATCCCTTCTCATGTGAATCCATCAATGGATATCACATTCACGAGGGTGGATCACATTTGTGTATCGCACCCAAGTGACTGGTCAAAAGTAATCATGGATACTTTTAGACCAAACATTAAGTATATTACTTAATGTTTACGTGTAACTAGGTACCCTGTTACAGTACCCGTCGTTCCGACGGAGATGGTTTTATGCTATCTTAATACATATATAGGGGTGTTCCCGTCGTTTCAACCGATAGGTGCACTAATTTGACGCTGATCGTATATTGGCTTAGGTAATTGATTAGTTCTAAGTGTAATGTGTATGAATGTCAATGTATACCTGTCGTTTCGAAAGTTAGGGTGTTCACCCGTCGTTTTGACGAACATGGTTTGCCTTTTGACCTGTAAACCCATCAACATACGCTAGATAATTAGATTGAATCAGGGCATAGATGGATATGAAGGCAATTTGTACCCGACGTTTCGTCAATTTTTCATTTGATCACCCGTTGTTCCAACAGTACAAAGTTGTATATACAGGCTTTGTAAGCGCAACAATTTGCTAGGATGTTTACACGTCGTTCCGACGGCATATTATATTTTATAGGACACATAAGCGCAGTGATAATTAGATTGACTCAGGGTAAAGAAGGATACGAAGGCCAATGTGCACTCGTCTATTCGTCAACTTTTCATTTGATCACCCGTCGTTCCAACGGTACGAAGATGTATGTACAGGCTTTTTATGCGCTACAATCTGCTAGGATGTGTACCCGTCGTTCCGACGGTGCATATTAGATCATATAGGCACCTTAAGCGCAGTGATTTGCTTTAGTGTTCACCCGTTGGACATGCGTGCAAAAATTACGCTAATAGTATATGGGCAACTTTAACGCAGCGTTTCATTAGGGCATTCACCGGTCGTTCCGACAGTGCGAAGTAGTATATATATGCATCATTTACTTAAAATATCAAGTCGGCTATGGTAAAGTGATAAGTATGAAAGTCATTGAGTATCCGTCGTTTCGTGCATTTTCCATTTAATTATTTAGCATGATATAGCATGTTGGACTAATGGATTCTACTATACAAACTTCAGTCATGATACCCATTCCTATAATGGGATGTCCGATGAAATTTTATCGCTTAACCTGATAGATATTTTTAATTTAAATAACAGTGATGAAAATCTTCTAACGTTAATGTAAGAGTGCTCACCCATCGTTGCGCCGAACAGGTCCGAGCGGACCTTAAATATAAATAAATTAAATGGAAAGGACCGAATGTTGGTGTGTCAATCAGTTTTTTTCATGCTACTTTCAGCCTATATGCAGCTTTTTGATACTGAGGTCTAGGGTCTTAATCCGTCGTTCCGACATATGAGTGCGCAATTTTTACGCTGATAGCATATTGGCCCACCATTTTACCTTGTTATGTATCCAGTTACCCTAAGTATATTGATACAGCAATGTGTAAGCATAGCACAGTGTTTCTGTCGTTCCAAAGGTCAATTTGTACCCGTCGTTCCGACGGACATGGTGCGCGAAGCCTGCTTTTGACATTCGTACCCATTTTTTACTTTACAACATCTGGTTGATTGAGGAATCTAATTAAGTATGACACAATACATATAGGTCACTTCACCTTTTGTAAGTGATTCCAATTCAACTTGATGACAACGCTTAATTTTGCCAATGCCAAGGTTTAAAGTACATTTGAGGACTGAGCCCATGTTATAATAATTTTTTGAAGCATGTGTCTCATCGAATAATCGAACAAAGCTGCGTTGATATTGCAATATGTAGTGATGGATATGAACATGTATGCGTACCATCGCTTTGAATATTAATGTTATAGATAGAAGCACGACACATTAATTCTCTGATATGGATATCTGCACATGTAGTAATAGTGCTAAATGCAAAAAATGCCAATGCGAAATGAGCTAAAAATGCATTATCAGCCAATCCAAAATTAGCAAATAATGCAAAAGTAGCCAATCCGAATGCCGGAAAAGAATCAAACAGACAGACAGACGGACAGTATTTTTTTATTATATAGAATATTATTGGGACCTAAAGTCCTAATATGGACCAATGATAAATCAACCTGAAATTGTGTGGTTTCCGAAAGGCAGGAACACTGTCGTATTTATTACGGCTAAAATTTTCGTAATATGTACGAATTAAAACAAAAATAAAAATCAGAGCTAAATTTACTGAATACCTAATACTTGGGCTTGAGTCTTCCTCAAGCGCGCGTGTAAGCTAGTGACGGTACGATCTAGCCCCGTTACACCTGAGAGCACTTTGTAGTCCTTCCTATGCCCGAGTTTGGGATGAGTAATCGTCGTACTTTGACGCTCCAAATTTATTTCTGGAGCACGCGACCTTTCCCATCTCACTAATGTTGAGTGGGATGCCCTTAATCGCCTCGCGACGATATCGGGAAAGGCATTCGTTGCGTCGCTGATGAGATCAGCGACCCCTGACGCGCACGTCTCGCCATACATGAGTGTATGGCACGCGAGCTCGCCGAATCCAACCGACGAGGTTAACTCCCTCGCGACCTTCACGTAATGAGGCCGTGAAGATGGAAAACTCCTCCTACTCAGGAGAAGGTAAGGACCGGTTGTCGCTGAATCGGTGGTTCCGAGAAGTTGATATCGCCATCGCCTCGAGACTTCTTGAGGCTCCACAGGCGAAGGTCAACTTTCTTCTTTCCCACCTCACCGGGAAGGCCAAGGAGTGGGCCCTTGGTAAGCTCGTTGTGGACGAGCACGCATTCCCCACCTTGGATACTATCCAGGACGATCTTCGTCTTGCTTTTGAGCCACCGCAAGAGGAGAAACTGGTGCGATCAAGATTCCTGTCGATGCGACAGGGTAAAATGGCGATGCGTGACTACGTGCAGATGGCTAGGCATCTGGCGTCGTGTATTATCACGCACCCCATGAACATGTACATGTCTTTGTGGATGGTATGCGTGAGGGGCAGACCCGCTTATCGCTGGAGCGCGCCGAGCCTGTCACATTGGAGGAGGAATTTGCCATCGCACTCCGTGAAGATTTTAAGGTCAAAAAGGCATATTCCAAACCATCGATCGTCACCGTTCCCCGGCCTTCTGGTCCAGAACCTATGGAGATCGACGTGATTGAGTTGTCGGATGACCGACGACGTGTCATTTCCCATAAGGGTG